CCAATTAACCTGACAGTCATGTTTTTGGACTGTGGGAGGAAGCCAGAGAGAACATGCAAACTCCATGCAGAAAGATCCCGGGCCAGGAATCAAACCCAGAACCTTCTTGCTGCAAGGCAACAGCTCTACCAACTGCGCCACTGTGCAGCCCACCCTATCTCCAGCTAACGTTGCGAGAGGCGGGATACACCCTGGACAGGTCGCCAGCAAATTTTAATTAAAAAATTACTTAAATATAAGATGTCTACATATGGTAGGAAATGAGACAAGCATCTACCAAAAGATGATAAAGCAACAGAAAATATATATATATTTTTTTACTTATTTACATTTCAAAATGGAATATGAAAAAAATTATACCCTTCTCAATAATCAATGGAAAAATCTTTAATGGTATAATAGCAATTATGCTCTTTAGCTGCTGAGTATATTTTCCATGTTTCAGATGGTATTTTGCTGATTCATCTTTAATGAGTTCCATATTTTTGAGGTAGAACATTCTCATTGCCATCACTGTACTTTTCTATAGATGTTGATCAGAATCACATTGGGTTTCTGCAGAGGCCGTTCCAAAACATTCATATGACGTATGTTCCGCTGGGGGTGGGATGGTGGCATTCACCCATCAGCCCCCACCTCACCAGCTAGTTATACCCTTCTCTGACAAAATAAGTGGCAGCTCCAAAGTGCCACAAGCTACTTTTACTTCACTGTGGCCATGGCAACCAAGTTGGAGATGGCACCTCAGAATATGTTGTCAGAATTCGGGCTGTAAAAGGGACACAGAGACAGGGAGAAGCAGCAGGAGAAAGCTGGTGAGGACTTTATTTCACTATCCAGATCCGGAGGGGTGGGGGAAGGTGAATCACATGTTATCCATGACCGGAATTTCACCCCAAGTGGAAACATTTCCATTTGTTGTATTAAATTCATGAGCAGTAACTGACGCCATATAGCAGCAATATGAAAAATAACAAAGCAACTTTCTCCCTCATTTGCAAACCTGGATAGTGGTGTCACTGCTTTTAAGTGTGGTGTTTTAGAGGAAATTCTTGTTACGTGAAACTTTTATTTGCCATTAAACACACTTTACACCTCCAAAACATTTTAAGGTCAAAAGAGCATGAGGGTAAGAGTTCATTCCAATCAGCACAGCAGAGAGTAGATGAAAGAAGCCTTATCTGTGGAGCCTTTTGATGTCTGGAAGTGGATTCAGAATGCCAACATGTTCTTGACACACATTTAGGAGAGCATCGCCCCGGGACTGGCAGTATGAAATTGACATTAATGAGAACTGAGTAAGAGGAGGAAGAAGGAACTCAACTTTCCCTGACTCCTTCCTCTGGAAGTAAGTTCCATGCAGATGGTGATGCCTTTTTCCAATTTTTTACACAACAGTGTTATTTGCCTGGTACTTCTGAAATAAATTCCATATAGATCATATGTTGCCAGATTTTGCACCCCCTAGTGAAATCAAATTTGTATATCAATAATTTCATGACAAAGCAAAGACAAACAATCCACTTTATTATGCTGCCAGAGCTGCATAATAAAGAAAATCACATCTTTGCTGTAAAAGAAAAAAAAGTGTATTTAACGATGTTAGTCTACAAAGATAATTCCAAACACCAGTTTGTTGAATCATGTTACTTTTCAAAATGATACATAATATTAATCACAGGTGTTTCATTCTTCC